TGATCTGCTTTGTTGTTTTGTTTTACCCTCTTTAAAATAAAGTTTTTAAAAAAATACAACTATATCAATTAGAAAGGTAAAAGTCTGACAAAGCCAAGTATAGTGAAGATGTAGAGAAACAGGAATTCTCGTGTGTTACTTGTGGGAATACCGTTTGGAGAGAAGTTTCAGAAATTCTTACACATTTACCAGGATATATGTATAAGAAAACTCATCATAGTGCTATTCGTAATAGTCAAAATGAGAAATGTGCTAAATATCCTTTTGGAGAAGAATAAACATTATTTGCATGTAATAGAATATTTGCTTCCACAAAAATGTATAAGCCAAAGCATTTTGGTTAAATCTTTAAAACTGCTTTGAGTAAAAGATAGTCAGTGACTCATACAGAACCATTTTATAAAGATTAAGAACTTGTAAAGCAATGTCATATAACTTGCAGATGGATATAAAGGGTGAAGTAAAAGTACTGAAAATCATTGGAATGATAGACACACAACTGATGATGCAGTCTCCCAAGAGGAAGAAGTAGTCACTGGGAACCCAGAAAGCGTTAGCTGTGTCTGTCTGGCTTCTTTTTATTCACTGCTGGAAACTGAGTCTTGAATCCAGTGCCTTCACACAGGGCACGTCTCCAGCCACCCCACCCCTTTTGTTTGAGTCGGGCTCTTGGTAAGTTGTTCAGGATGGGCTCAAATTTGTAACACTCCTATTCAGTGTCTTAGAGTGCTGGGATTAAAAGCATATCCCACCATACTCAGCTTGCTGATTGCTTTTTTTTTTTTTTTTTTTTTTTTTTTTTTTTGGTCTTTTTCCTTTTTATCGGTACCAGGGATCGAACTCAGGACTGCCTGCTTGCAAGGCAGGTGCTTATGCCGCTGAGCTAAATCCCCAGCCCAGCTTGTTGATTGCTTAAAAATGAAAAAATAAATAGCAAACGCTAGAAATATTTTTCTCAAAAGCCCCATAAAGTTGTTTTAAAAAATTAAGTAACTATATACTTTTTCTTAATTCATCATAAGAAAACTGGACAGGCAAAACTATAAATTTTAAATTGACAGGAGGAGCCAACATGTTTCTCAGATTCATTTCAAGTGCTGTTCTCCAAGTCAAAAGTCTTTTTCATTCTCTTTCAAAGATTTTGACCTTTTCATACACTGGGGGAAATCCAGTGTCATAATCATTCATGTGATTCACACCACAGAAAACTTTAGTAATTACGAGAAAATTAAGATGAGAATTATGACTAAAGAAAAACCAAGAGCAGTCCATTCATACACTGTGTCAGGGACAATTGGTAACACTTTCACTTTGCAGAGGCCCAAAGAAGCAGCTCTATCAGAGTAATGTCCTTTCAGTGACTATGTAAAGACCTGCCTGCAACTTCAGCTCTCTTATGTTTGCTTACCTGCCATCAAAGTTTTCTCCTTCACACTTACATTATTTCCTTCCCAGTCAGAAATTATAAAAGCAGATCCCAAAACAAGCATTCCTCAACTACGGACCGGTGTCTGTGTGGCCCCAAGAGTTGGTACTAATCACATCCAAATCCTGCCCCAGCATGGGCACTGTGAGAATGTTCCTGACAACCAAACAATTCCTCATTCCAATACTGAACCAAGTGTTGAGACTTTTGTTTATTTTTGTATGGGGGGAGGCTGTATGGTAGCAAAGTTGCCTAAAACAGCCTACTCATGGGGTCAAAACACCTGCAGATGATTGACGGACAAGCTTGCCACCCAGTCTCTGAGCTAAGGTCTTTCTTTTCCACGGACACAGGAAATACTCTCCTAACTATTCAAACCCCAGGCCTTGTTCATGCTTGGGCTAACGCTCTACCATGGAACAGCCACTCCAACCCTACTCTTGTCTTTAGCTTTCTAGGTTTTGTCCCTTCCATTTATACCCAGAGGTTGAATTTGCATATGTAAGGAGGGTGCCCTTTGTCCAAGTGAATTATATTGTTTCTAGCCCCAGCTGTCATAGATAATAAAAGATCCGTGTCCTTCAAAATGCAAAAAGGCAAACTTCAAATTAGCTGACCTCTCCTCAGGGTTCCAACCAAATTCCCATTGATTGTGCCTCTGTTGGTCCTAGAGCTCACAATCTGTAGGAAAGACACAGACCTGATGAAATAAAATACCCGATGCCCAAAATTAGGGGTTTATTTAGCTCACAGTTTGTAGACATTTCGGTCTATAACCAGCTGGCTCCGAGGCAGGGTAGGATTGCACAGGGCAACAGCTCAAGGCGGCAGAAGACAGCAAAAGCAGCCAGAGCAAAAAATGAAGGAGGGAGGAGCAAGCCTCTTGTTCTCACTTGCATTGTAAGCAGGCTACCTGCCCTAGGGCAAAACACCATTCTCCCATCTCCTCTTCTGCCTCCTGCACAGGATGAGGACATTTACAAAGTGAGGCCCTGGCCCCCTGCTGAGTCCCTTGGTTAAACTCCTAAACTTCGCAAGTTGACACTGTATCAACCGTGACAAACTCTTTCTCAATGTAAGAAAAAAATGGGAAATCCATTCTTTACATCATTCCAACTGTTTTTGCTTTTACTTGTCCCTGTGTTTCTCTCCTTAATGACTAGCTGAACTATAAATATTGCAAACAAATCTATCTACCTGCCCTTCATTGTGGGCCATTCTTGATTTCATCTATGTTTCTTTCCCACTTCCATATTGAAATAGTGGGAGGAATAACAGTGACAAACATTTGCTGAGCATTTGCTTTGTTCACTGTAATGAATACTTTACACATTTTATCTATCTCATCTCACATGCATAATAATTTCATAATAATCCTACTGAAAATTCCTGCTTTACAGATGAGGAAATGGAAGTACAGAAAAGTACAAACATTTATTTAACCTGTAAATGTTTGCTATTATACTTCCTTGAGGGGAAAGATAAAAATCTATGTTAAAAGACTGTAATAAAAGCAAAGTGCAGTGCAAACATGGTGCTGTCGCCTGCTTCATAACAGGGCTTGGTGAATGTTTGTTGAGTGAATGATTGAGTAAACATTGCTGGTGTGTACCATGTTTTGTGAAGGGAGAGTCCCTAGAATAATGTGAACTGTAAACACCCCAGGCAGTGTGTGGATAACTCAGTACTGCCTCCCACACACACGCCAGTCTGTTTCTTCCTATTTCGTCTAATTTTACAATCAAAAGGACTGTCTGATTGAATAGCTCTAAAAGGTCATGATGAATTATTCTGTAATATTTGAAATGTTATGCTCGGAAAGGTCAAACCTTATTTTTCCGTATGAAGTATCATAGATTTGTCTCTCCTGGGCGCGAGTTCTTTTTTTTTTTTTGAAGGAAGTATGGCAAGAAATTTAGAGCAGGGTGCCCTCTTGAGGAAATTTTAGCACCCTGACATGGAAAAAATACCAGGTAAATAATGTACACAACTCACGAAACACATAAATGAAATACTTAAAAGTGACAAACGACCAAATACCACTTATTTGAACACTAATGTTCTGAACTATGTAATCTAATTAATATGGCAATTGTAAATAAAAAATTTTAAATGAAAACAAAAATTTCTGGGAGTTACTCTTTATATTCTGTCCTTCCTGTAACTTATTTATATTTATTAAGCACCTGTTTTGTGACCACTGTGTTCGCTTGACACACTGTGTACTATGTGCACATGCCTTCGTGGAGCTTTTCTTGTCTAACATGGACAGTCTTGGGGTTCTGCCTCTTAACCTATCATCTCTCCTTTTCTCTGCCCCGCCCCTGGACCTAGCTCTTCCAGGCTTGGCTGTGAGGACAAGCTGGCAATTTCCCGCCCCCCTGTGCACTGCATTGCTGCCCCAGGGTTGCCCTGCGGCCTCACATCTTTTCTGGGAATCATCTGCTTGATTAACAAATGTCTTCTTTGCTGATTCTGATAGCTCCTGAAGAGTGTCTGAGAAGATGGAAAAGACAAAAGCCCTGGCTGCTGCTGTGCTTTGAGTGAGAGAGAAGCAGACAGTTTTAGGCAAAGAACTTGATCATGCAGTACTTTGACGTGGAAATACCTGTGGCAGGAGGCGGGAGGAGGCTTTCCACCAGAACTGAAAGAAAGAATTAGAGCTTAGAAAAGAGCCCTGAAGAACTATTTTTAGAGAGTTTTGTTTTGTTTCAAAGCTCTCCTGGGACGCAATGGTCGGTCAGGTCCTCATTGCATTGTCTAGGTCTTACATTAAAGCTTCTTTCTCTACATTGGAAGATCTGTTGCTCTACATGAAAGTACACAGAAGCCTCTTGATGACTTCCAGACTGGAGTCATGGCCATTGGAGTCCAGGATATAAACTGTGCATAAGCATTTCTCCTTTAGTTCTCTATGTTAACAGCTCTCTTCAAGAAAACTAACCTCCATATTGAACAGGGGACCCCAAACAAGATATTTCACTCCTTTGCATCTCAATTCCCTTACCTCTGAATTTGGGGTGTAATATTTCTGCGCACTTCACAAGGCCATTATAATGTATCTGTCAAAATATGCTGAAAACAATACATCCACCTATTCTTACTAGGTAGAAATTTGGAAAATACCCTAAAAACTATAAAATGTACAGACTCCTTTGATCAGCAGTTGGGTTCTTGATAATTTATTCTTATGAAAAATCTGTGTGAAAAATGTGTACATTAAAGCATTTTTCTATAATAGAAAACAGTGGAAACATTCCAAATATTTAGCATTATCAGACTAGATAACTAAAATGTGTTGCCTTAGCCCAATAAAATATTGATCAACCACTGTGTAAATTATATTTGTGTTAGCAAATGTTTGGGAAAGAAACCTACAAAAAGCATTATTATCTTAGTTTAGTGGTTTTTGGAAGCATTTTTTCTTTGATTTATTTCTCTGAATGTTATACAAAATTATTAAAATACTTGAAATATTTTAAAATTTAAAAATGACTGCAAAGTAAATTCTCTGTCTCCCTCTCCCTCCCACCTGCCCTCTGTTTCCCCTCTTCCACTCCCTCTCCATATTTAGGGAAATTACCGATTCATGAAACTTTTACTTACACGTAGAGCAAACTGGATGCAAAAGGATCTCGAAGAGATGACTCCTTTGCACTTGGCCACCCGGCACAAGAGCCCTAAGTGTTTGGCGCTTCTGCTGAAGTTTATGGCCCCAGGCGAAGTGGACACACAGGACAAAAACAAGGTAATGCGTGACCAACACGGAGGACAAAAGAGACAGAACGGGGGCTTCTTCCTGACAGGCGTAACCTCGAGTAAGAATGTCTGCCTCCGTGCCCTCTTGTTCTGTGTCCTAAGCCAGCTACTTAACTCCTCAGTATTTCCCATAAGTGAAGTAAAAAGGGTATAGTATCCTTGAAGATAAAATGAGGTTTATATACAAATTGCTTAACACAATACCTAGCACACAGTACATCCTCCATGTATGGTAGCCGGAAAATAATTCTTAGCTTCATGTCAGGTCTAACATCTGCTCTAGCACTCTGTTCTAGGGTTTGTCTTCCCTGTTCCTAAATAGTCACATATTGTAACATTGGTCATTGTTTTGATTGATACTCTGGTCATTCTTTATAGGCCAAAAAGAGATGGTTGTTAGTGAGCAAAGAGCAAAAATCCTTTTCCTTTCTGCCAAGTCCTTGTTAAGTCTTGTTAAGTCCAATCACCCCATGTAATTAAAATTCCTGTCATTAAGTCCACTGGGTTTATATTGAATACTCTTCTCCCTCTCATAGTGTTCTTTATATAGTTCTCAAAACTTGCTTAATAGAGTTCTGAGATCAACTTACTTTACCAGCACTAGATATTAATATTATTCCTGCCTCATGGCATCTGTATTGCTAATATTTCACTGAAAAAAGCACTTGGCTCAATAAGCAAAGACCCTTAACACTTAAAAAGTTTCTCATGTCTTCAAGCTTTCTACTACCCCCTGCCCAGCACAGTCTAGGCACTACCTGTTGTCTTCTTGTGCCTATTACTGAACAAGGATGGGCAGTGATGCACTTATTTTGTCCAGGAAGGCGAAGACAAAGAGAACAAGGCAAGACAAGCCTAAAGAAGCAACTTTGGAGCTATTCGTGGTAGAGGATCAGTTTTTTAAAATTTCTAATCTGTTATAGTTTAGTTGTTTTATAACACGCATGTATAACCAAAAATCAACTTTTAATGTAACTTGAACATTCATTTCTCAAAAAAGATATAGAAATGGTCAAGAATGATGTGAAATGTGCCCAACATTATCACCATTCTAGAAATGCAAATCAAACCCCAATGATTTCTTCATAACCTTTATGACGTGTTATCTTGAAAACAGAAAATAACAACTGTTGGAAGGGTGTGGAGAAATTTAAACTCTTATGCCTTAGTAGGGGAAGTAAAACATTAAATATAGAATTACCATGAGCCAACAGTTCTACTTTTGGGTATATACCCAAAAGAACTGAAATCGGGAACTCAGACATGCATCTGTATATTCATGTTTGATACAGAATTATTCACAATAGCTTAAGGATGCAGACAGTTCAAATGCCCATGAATGGATAACTGGGTAATCAAAATGTAATACCTACTTCTAGCTACACTGTTGACTATTATTCAGCTCTAAAAAGGAATAACGTATGCTACAGAACAGATTATTAATCACCATGCTAAGTGAAATAAGTCAAACTCAAAAGACAAATATTGTATGGTTCTGTTAGAATAGCAGAATTCAGTGAGACAGGAAGTAGAGCGAGGGTTTCCAGCAACTAGAAAAAGGCGGAATTAACACTATTAAACGGGAAGTTTGGGAAGATGAAAAATTCTGGAGATGAATGGTAGTGACAATTGCACAATAATATGAATGTATCTAATGCTACTGCACTATATACTTTAAAACAGATAAAATGGTAAATTTTATATTTTGCGTATTTTTCCTCAGTTAAAAAAAGAATTGCTAGATAAATAAAAAACAAAGATGTAGAAATAAAACCAAAACTTTTTATTATTAGGCTGAACACATATTTCAGTAAATATAATTAGAATAAACAACACAAAAAAGGAATTACAGAAATTATATTGTTTATTGAAAATAGGCAATTAATTGCTATTATACTTGTGATTTTATTGTGTTCTGCAGTTGCTACTAAATAAAAGTAATGAGTTAAATAATGACTTCATATTATAGAGACTTTTTTAATGAATACCATCTGGGCCACATTTTAGTTTTTAATATGACAATGAGCTTGGATCCTGCTTTTTATTTAATTCTGTATTGATGAGCTGGGGGTTTAGCTCAGTGGCATTAGCGCCTGCCTGGCAATCACAAGGTCATGAATTCAATCCCCGTCACCAAAACAATAAAATAAAATAATAAATAAATAAATAGATTGGATCGATGGTTATGCTACTTGTTTTCCCTTAATAATTCTCTCAGTAAGGAAAACAGTCTTATAGAAGTATTTCATGAGTGGTTTTCCTGGCAACTTCCACAAGTTCAAGGCAATCATTTTAAGCTTTCGTTTGAAATCAAGTACTGCTGTGTTTTCAGCATGTATGTTTTCATCAGTAATTAGGTCTAATATTTATCCTATAAAATGATAACTAAGTATAAATTTATCTTTTGATATAAGGAATGGATTCCAGAGCTGCAAATTTCCTGTGCATGTATCTTTTTTTAATAGACACTAATGTTGAAATCATCTGTCAAATTTTTTTTTTTTTTTTTTTTTTTTTTTTGGTACGGGGTATCGAACTCACAACCTTGTGCTTGCCAGGCACTGCAGTCGCCATGCTGCTGAGCTACATCCCCGGCCCTCATCTGTCAAATTCTAAGGTGACTGGTGATAACCAGATGTGCACTATCAAGATTACCAATTATTTCACTGACAACTATTCATAAACTACTGGGCTGCTCTTATCTTACTTTTTATTACTATTATTATACTTGAACTGACTCTTGATGAAGAGTACAGACCCTGGAGTCTGACTGCCTGGGTTAGAAATCTCAGTACACATATTATCTCCTTAAAAATTATTCATCCTTCTTTTGTTAGTTTACCTCATCAGTCGTATGCAAATGATAGAGTACTCATCTCCCAGAGATCCGATGATGACCATGTCATGCAAACTACATACAACAATGCCTATCACAATGAAAGTGTGGGGGAAGTTACTTCTTGTTTTGCTCTGCTTGTAAGTGCCACCCTCTCCACCTTGCAGCAAACAGCTCTGCACTGGAGTGCTTACTACAACAACCCTGAGCACGTGAAGCTGCTGATCAAGCATGATTCCAACATTGGGATTCCTGACGTGGAAGGCAAGATCCCACTGCACTGGGCAGCCAATCATAAAGACCCAAGTGCTGTGCACACAGTGAGATGCATCCTCGTGAGTAGAATGGTGGTCTGGACCTAAACAGCCTTAAAAAAAATGTGCACTATCCAACATGTAAAAAAGCATGTGTGTGACATACAAACACGTTTGAACCAAAGGATACAACAGATATGTGGCCCCATCTCCCCAAAACTGAAATACTTCCTTACCACTATTTAGCAACACCTGGCATCCACTCCCTCACACACTGTCTTTCCTCTCCTCCGATCAAATGCCTTCCTGATTTTATTCTTCTAATTCTCCTACATTGTTTTATACTCACTTTATTAAATAATGACTAGATATAAGTGAATATCAGGATATGGACACAACAAACTCACACCCTCAGTCCTGAGTTTAAGAAAACGAACATCACCATCGCACCACTGAAGCCTTTAGGTTGAATACCCCTGTCCTCTCCATCCTCACAGGCAAAGACCATCCTCAATTTCATGTTTTTCATTGACTGATTTTCAGTAGTTTGACCTCAGATATTTGTATCCATAAACAATATACTGTTTCAGTTTTAACTTTTTTTAATTTTGTATACACAGATTCATATTGCAGGTATTCTTTTTTTTTTTTTTTTTGCCACCATTGTTACTGGAGATATTGCAGGTATTCTTTTGGAATGTGCTTTTCTTTTTTTTTTTTTTTTTTTTGTCTTTTTCCTTTTTATTGGTACCAGGGATCGAACTCACGACTGCCTGCTTGCAAGGTAGGCACTTATGCCGCTGAGCTAAATCCCCAGCTGGAATGTGCTTTTCTTGTTCAATCTTATGCTTGTGATTTTTCCTACATTACTGTATGTAACTACAATGTGTCAATCTTTACTGTCACATAGCATTTATTATTATTTATTCTGCTAATCAGAGATATTTTAACTATTTTCAGATTTTTGTTTTTTATAAACAGTGCTACTTTTGAGCACTTTTGAACATATGCAGGGCATATATTTAACTGGTTATTGCAGGTATGAAGGAATACAACATTTTTTGTTATTGCTGTTAATTGATTGTATACCTAACCAGTTTAGTAAATTACTTATTAATTTAGAATATTCATAAGGAGATTAATGGAGGTTTTCTAATCACTCTGTCCCAATTTACAGCTTTACATGCTATGGTAGTCTAACATTTAATTTTGTTTTCAATATGCAAGTTAGACTTTTGAGACACAAACTAGATTTTAAAGTTATTCTTTCATATACATTGATTATTTTATTTGTGTGCTCACAGATATCTTTGCTTTCCACTTCTTGAAATTCAAGCTCTCCTTCTAGAGTTACTGTTTTTAAGAACTTCTGTTCTTTATATAGCTCTGTTGGTGTTAAGTGGTTTTAGTTGCTAAAAATGTCTGTTTTTCAATCTGTCTCGTGAAAAAATAGATTTCCTGTGTACACATTTCTACGTAGTCCCTTTTCTCAACTTTTTCAGGGTATTATTCTGTTGCTTGCTGCCTACTATTATTACTCAAGGAGTGTGTTTTTGTCTAATTGCCATTGTTTTATGGATTATCTGTCTTTGCACTTAGACTGTTTTTTAAATTCTCCTCTTTGGCATATTACACTGTGTCTAGGTATGACCTTTGTTAAAAAATACTGTTTGGTTTGGTAGCATATGTCTATAATCCCAGCTCTCAGGAGGCTGGGAAAGGAAACTGTGAGTTTGAGAGCAAAGTGGGTTACATAAGATTTCCCCTGCCATCCTGAATTATGTAGTTGGATCCTGTAGGCAAAAAGCAAATACAAAAATCCTGTTTGGAAAAAAAAATCCTATTTGGTGTATATATTATGAGTACAGTATCTCAGTTCTGGAAAATACATAACTACCTCTTTAAATACTGTTTATCCTTCATTCTCCCTACTCTGGCCTTAACGCATCCAATTATATGTATTTTAAACCTTTTCTTTTTCCTGTCCAGGTTTCTGAACTTCCTTTTATCTGTCTTCTAGTTTACTAACTCTTTCTCCAGCCAAGTTTAATCAGTTGTTTACCCTTGCTACTGAATGTTTAATATGTTACTATATTTTTCACTTCTAAAACTTCTATTTGTTCTTTCTAAATCTACTGTATCATTATGATAGCTTACCTTCCTTTCTATTTCATTTTTATCTTCTTGCATATGTAATAGGTTGTTATTTTATATTCCTTAGGTGTTAATTTCAGTACCTGAAGTCAATGGAGAGCAATCTGTGCTCATATTATCCTTCTACCCTCTGATTTGTCCTTACTTCCTCTTGTGTAAACACGCCTGACTCAAGGGCCTAAATTATACTTCAAAAAATAAAATAAAATACACTTGCTTACTGCAGAAGAACCTCTAAATCTGATAGGACACTTTAGAGAGTTCTCAAATTGAAGCTGAATCCAGCTTTGGCTTTGGGTATGACCAAACCTGCAAAGGAACATTACCTTGGGTGAGGTAACTTTCCAGCCAAAGTAATTTCAGAAAGCAAACAGGTAAAGGTCATTGCCTGAGGGGGTAAGGCCTTACTTCCATCTTGAAGGAGGACCAAAGTGTTATGTCTCCTACAAAGATCCAGCAGAAAAACAGACTGTCACTTTATAAAGAAATAACACTGAATCACAAATAAACATATTAAAAATGTAAGATTTCAACCTCATTCATAAAAGAATTACAAATTAAAACATCAATGAAATGTCTTTTGCATTTCTAAGTGGGAAAATGTAGCAAGCTTGATAATACCAAGTAATTAATTTGTGCTGGCATGTGGGCAAATAAAAGCCTTTACACATTGTCATGGGTGTGTTAATTGGTACAACCATTTGGAGAGCTATTTGACAGTGTTTAATAGAAAATGCAGATATCCATCAACTCAGCAATTCTTCTTTTGGTATCCAACCAAAAGAAAAATCTCACACATATGCTATAAGAGGCAGGTATAGGGAACATACTTTTTACAATCATTTGAAAAAATATTTTTTGAAAAAATATACAAATAACCTAACTGTCCCTCAGTAGAAGGGATAACTACATCATGATTTATTGATGCAGTTCAGCAAATGAACTGGTGTCAACATAGACAGCCACAAGTATAGTGTGGAAAGAAAAAGTTGTCAAAGGATGTACATGTGTACTGCCACAATGTACATGTCACATATATACATTGCATATGTAAGTATACACCTATTGGTACATATTTATTCTGTACAGATGTGTACATATGTACAAAAGTACAAAACACAGCTTTAGCTGAATCTTTAACAGATACAAAAATTCATTAGGCAAGACGTTACCTTTTGAATATATTCAGTACCTGGGAGTTGTTACATTTTCTGTGCTTTTTAGAGTGAAATATGAAAATAAATTTTTAAAGATTTACACTGTATACTTTTCCTGGAGTTATGAGTTTATTTGTGCTCATAGAGAATGTAGAGGTTTTGTTTTGAAAACTTCTGTCAGTATTTATGCTGTTTAAATTTATCGAGGATTCCACACATGTGTGATGTCTGGTTCCTTCAAAACAGGACGCTGCTCCAACAGAGTCTTTGCTGAACTGGCAGGACTACGAGGGCCGCACACCTCTTCACTTTGCAGTCGCTGATGGAAATGTGACAGTGGTTGATGTCCTCACCTCATATGAAAGCTGCAACATAACGTCCTACGATAACTTATTTCGAACCCCGCTTCACTGGGCAGCTTTACTAGGTAAGCTGGCTGTCAATAAAGAGTCACCCCAGGACGATGCATGCACGTAGAATTTCTGTACTTTCTCTTTTCCTGTTGCTTTTTATCTCCTCTGTAATTAATTTTAAGTGGTACATTGGATGATTTTATGAACTAACTCCCCCGACTGTATGCTTCATTTTTAGTAATATAAAGTTATTCTCTGTTAGCTTGGTGTGAGGATAGACACGTGTAATTCCAGTACTCAGGAGGCTGAGGCAAGAGGATCGCCACCAGCTCCAGGCTGACCCGAGTTATGCAATCGGTTTAAGGTCAATCTGACAGTGAGACCTTGTCTCTAAATAAGTAAATAAAATTTTAAAAGTTACTCTATTTAAAATTAGTTTTAATTTCAAGATGTTTTAACTTTTCTTATAAAATGAATGACAATTTATTGACATCTTGTAACGTAAACCTCTTTTCATAGTCACTGGCTTTGTGTGAGGGGAAGGGAGCTTCAATTTTTGTACTAATATCATATTTTGGTTTTTCACAATATTTGCTTTTTACTTAACGTTTTTGAGTGTCACATTTTAGAAGGAAGACCATTTATTATGTATATGCTATATATAGATAGGTGTTAAATATTTTTTGAAGAGGGTATCATTTAAAAGACTTTCTTTTAGTGAAGATGTTCTACCTATTCATTAATAGTATTGTTAAAAGATAAATAAATTGAGCTGTGAATGGTGACTCATGACTGTAATCCCAGCATGTGGGAGGCTAACGCAGGAGGATCATTGCAAGTTTGAAACCAGCCTGGGCTACAAATTGAGCTTAAGGCCAACGTGAACTGTATAGCGAGACCCTGTCTCAAAAAGACCAAAAAAAATAAAAGGGTAAATCAATGGGTTTTTTTTTTTTCTGTTGTTTAGCTATTATTAGTTTTTTCAGAGAATTTTTCTTAATTTTTTCCCTTTGTTTTCTGCTTTGGGTATATAGATTAGCTTTGTTGTTATTTTTTAGTTTTGAATTGCCCAATATTTTAGAATGTATTAGTGATTATTTTTAAATTTATCAAGAGCATTTTAAGCCTGAGGCAAGTCAAAAGCAATACTTGATGTATTGACTCCCTCACAAAGAATTTTAGCACAATTTCTTATAATTTTATTATTTGTTAAAATACTAAGTATGACCTTGATCTTAATTTTAAAGTTACACATTGTGTTTTTTGATTTTTATACTTGCAATCAGTTTTTATGGTCAAATTTTAAATTATTATTTAGACTTCATTTTAATGTGTGGTTGCATGCAGTTGCTTTTCTTTCCTTTACAATGTGGGCATAGTTGCTAAATGTGTCTCCACATCACTAAATCAACTCTTTATCTACAAACTTTCTTTCGGGGATTGTAATTTAGATAGTGTTTTCATTTCCTCTGTCATATGCTTTATATCTCATCTTACCTCCTTCTGCTCCCTCTCCTGGCAGCTGTGTCCTCTTAGGGCATTCTCTCTGTTTCATAGAGGCCATCTCTCTTTGCACTAAGTTGAAGATGCCAGCTTCCTGAATTTTTCCTCTGGAGCCTTCTTTTCTGAGGTACGCGCTTTTCTTTCTGATACTGTGCCTTTTTCCCTGTCGTAGAGTATGTCTGTCTATGACCTTCACAGAAGTCTTTTTATTCAAACAAGATGAGATGTATTTCAATGAACCGTGGGACACAGGCTGCCTCTACGCCTGTGTCTGTGTTGTGGAGACTCCACTTTAACCTATTGTGAAAAGTGAGCAGAGGAGCAGAGTGCTCTCCAAATTCTGTCACTCACATGTCCTTACTCTGCTGGGCCGCATCTTCTTTGCCGGCTGGCTCCCTGACTACCCTGTCATAACAGATAGATACTGTTACTAGTGTCATTTATTCTTTGATCTTTTCTGCAGCTCTGTAGAAATCACTTCTTTCAGACTGTGCTGCAGAGGGTTGTACCACCTCGTCACACTTGCCCCCTTGTTTTGTGGGATTTAAAATCTCTGTCTGGAAGTTGAAGGACAAAGAGAAACTAGCGTGAATGGTCAGGAGACTCAGAAACAGAAAGGACTGCATTATCATTTGTCCACCTGAGTAATGAGCGGGGACGCCTGTGTAATTCCGCTTGCTTGGGCCGTGGACCCTTGAGACAGGGGACAGCGAAGCCTAAGAGGACCTGAATCTGAAGCACCTCCCTCCTTTGCTGCAGGATGTTTTCCAGAGTGGAGCAGGGAAGACAGCGAGGTGATACCTAATAGAGCTTATTTTTATTCAGTATGGCAGTTACATGCAGGGCATTTCCTTCTCAATGGAAACTAAATTTTCAGCGTTGTTAGTTTGCATCTCTGTTCTGCCCATCGTAGGCTGGTGAGAAATTAGGAGAGAGTTCCCAGGGGCTGCCGTTCAGAAACCATGCTGAGTGCTGTCCTGTACGCTCGTTTTCTTACCCTCTTCCTTCTAAGTCGATTATGAATTACTTAAGGTTCTTTATATGTGAGAACTGCCTTGTCACATCTGTTTCCAGGCCATGCACAGATTGTTCATCTCCTTTTAGAAAGAAATAAGTCTGGAACTATCCCATCTGACAGCCAAGGAGCAACACCCCTGCACTATGCAGCCCAGAGCAACTTTGCGGTAAGTAAATTACGACAATCCTTTGTCCTTAATAAAACTATTATATTAACATAATTTTAGATTCATATGCAGCTGCAAGGAAATTACAGCGACACCCCATGTGCCCTTTACCCATTGTGGCCGTGTGGTAACGTCTAAAACAAGGTGATAAACAAGAGGCTGACACTGACTTTATTAGCATTTTACCACTTTTAAGAACACTCATTTGTCTATACTGGTATAGCAGTTATGTTTAAATAATGGTCCATAGTATTGGTTCTGACTCAGAGGCAAGTGATACTCAGTGTTTGTAAAGCTGTTAGGCACACAGTAAGTTTTATCAGTTTCTATTTTAATGCTCAGTGTAATTTCTGTTTTATGGTAAGGGTATCTCATCTCTTTGTTGCTTCTGTAGCATTAACTATGTCGCAGTGTTCAGCAGTCTGTAATTGTTCTGGAACTGGAAAAACCTGGATGGAAGCTTGACAGTGTGGTTGGCTAGCTTGACCTTACACAAGATGCTTAACGTCTCAGAGTCTTGGTTTCTTCGTATGTGAAATAAGGATAATTACACCTTTTCTTTGTGATTATTTTAAAGGTGAAAGTTATGATAGATAGATGCCTACTGTAGTTGCTGGGATAGAGGAGATACTCAAGAACTAAATGTATTCTGATCATTATTGGTGATAATTATGTGTTTTATAATTTAAGAAAGCAAATATGAGTTTTCATTTCTAGAAGCAGTGAATGTTGAATACTGAGTATTGAATATTGAATATATAACACTTCTCCTCTTATAGCTCTTTATATTTACAAAGCTCTTTCTTGTCTGTTGTGTCCTGACCCATCAAGCAGTGGCCTCATAGTCCTTGACTAGTTCAGCTTCTGAACATGGATGGCCCCCAAAAACCAGAGGCTCATGCAAAGAGGCCTGCATGCAGTCAAGCATCCCAGTTCACATGTGTGTGCAGTGATACCCTTGGTTTCACTAAATTATAATAATATTGTCAGTATCACAGTGGATGTCGGACTGCTTGACCTGTCCAGGTGTTTTGTTGAGTTCTCAGTTGCTAAAATATCTCAATTTCACACCCTTCTTAGTCTCTGATTCCAGAACAAATATATGTCTGGTCCTTGCTTCTTGACATTCCCAAAAGTTTATTCAATTTGTAACCTAGAATTTTGGCAAACTATTAACTTTTATTATCTCCCAACAGCTCAGAAGAATAAAAGTAAACATTTGAGGAGGAATTCTTTTGTACTAAAAATAGATAAAATTTCCAGGTTTATCCAGGTTAGTCAATGTATGGAAATCAGAACTAAATCCATATTCAGCATAAGCCTATCACTTAGGTCATTTCACACGATCCACAGATGTTTTTAAGAACCAAGATTCCAACAGGTTGAATGACTTGCTCATGATCTGGCAAGTTTTAGATGCCAAGTTTAATAAATGAACAGATATCACTAATTAAATAACTGTATTAAGAAAGAATTATAGGGTGCTGTGGATATTTAAGCAAAGAAAGATTTGCTTTAGATAATCTTCAGAGTTGATTTTCAGAAATCAGCTCCAGAGTTGATTTTTATAATGATGCAAATTTTCTTAATTCAATTTCAAGCCCTATGATCCCTCTGACCTCTTAACTCATAAGAAGATTCAGCACTCTTTGAAAAACATGAAACAAACCAAAAAAAACTCCTATAAATACTTGTCATTAAGAAAAATATTCTCAAAGAAATATTTGCAAATTAATGAAAGAAAACAAACCAAAAAAGTCGACTTTTAAAATTCTTTTCTGTAGTCAAATATGCTTAGTGAGAATCCACATGAGATCCTAAGGGCACTCAGCTATTATACCTTAGCAGGTAATCACACAGTTTTAAGATGAGGAAATAGTGTATGACACAGTGGAAAAAAAGTGCTGTCATTTAGTGTTGGATTCTGCTTCTGTGTCTACCATTAATATTTGTATGACCTTGAACCTAAATTTCTTCATCTATAAAATGAATGAGCCCTTAAATTTATCCTTTATTTTCATACTGTTCTTTTATTCTATTCTTTTTATATTAGTATTTTATACATTTTTAGTCAGCTCACAGCCTCCAGAAATCTCTTTCTGAAACTACTTTGCATTCACTTAAGCAAGCTTTTTGTTCTTCCTTAAAATTTGTAAGAATCTGAGTTGTGAGAAAAGAGGCAATTTAAAATGATGGACTGTGAACCCCCTTTAAAATTGCCACATGCAATCAGGATTGTCAAGGATCCTAATTTTTGTGTGATTCCACAGGAAGGACATTTGCATAGTGATAAATATTTTATTAAACACTGCATTTCTTAGCAACCATCGATCATGATTCAATAAATATATTATCCATCTTTTAAAATTTTAGTAACAAAACAGACTCCAAGACAATATATTTAGCTTCTTTGGAGGCGCACTTAATTATATGGCTCTCTGCCTGTGAAATACCCAGGAATACATACACTTTAATGTTGCCCATTACATAAATACTTCTGAGTCTTTCAATTGTCACCACCCCTAACAGTGGCCTCAAAGTTTTCAAGCTTGATTGAAGATGATCATTCTCAATTTTGAGGTTGTTGAATGAGGGAGCTAGATTTTGCTTTTGAAGGGTTGTGGAAACTAAAACTCATACAGACAAAAAATTATTATTTTCAATAAAAGTTGTACTCTTGTAAAGATAGCTTCATTTGATGCAGAAGCAGGGGAAAATACTTTGCTTCTTACCCAAAGTCCCATATAACAGGTTTTTTGTTACCATAAAAATGCTACCTTGTCTTCTCAATTTTTTTAATGAAGTTTTCTTGCAGGAAACCGTTAAAGTATTTTTAAAACATCCTTCAGTGAAAGATGATTCAGACCTGGAAGGGAGAACATCGTTTATGTGGGCAGCAGGGAAAGGCAGTGACGACGTCCTGAGGACCATGCTGAGTTTAAAGTCTGACATCGATATTAACATGGCAGACAAATACGGAGGCACAGGTAAGAGCTGACAGACGTCCAAGTCCAGTTTGCTTTCTTCTGGGTTCCAAAGCGTGGGCTGTACTATGAGATCTGTAAAACAGTAACCTGAAAGCCTTGCTCCTAAGCTATATTGTGTGAATTTGCTCCTCATTTTTTGAATTTGCCAGGCTACCACTCTAAAGGCTTTATTCCTCCCTAATATCATAGCTAAATTAGAGTATGTTCCTAGAGCATGTTCCATGATTGGTGCCCTTTGATTTCAAACTCCTTTTAGATGATTATGAAAAGTTCTTATCACTTATCTTCATGTTAAAAAAGCACAAACTTGTATTTTAAAACTACACATATTTAGCAACTAATTATATTTAGTATTAATTAATTCGATCTTGTAAGATGTAGAATTATATTTCAGGAAGTGCACACATCTGAATGTGCTCTCCAAGCCTCCCTTACCATGCGCCTTTCTTGGTAGCAGTCGGCATCCTGAATCCCCATTCTAAAGATAACTCCTCATGCCTAGAAGCTTCACCCCTCAAGTCAGCCTGCAGAAGCACTCTTACTGCTGCTTCTTTTAATCTCTTCCTCTAATAAGAGAGCCCTTCACCTGTGGACTGGTTATTAAGAAACATACCCCTGTTTTAGCGTTGTGTCAACTTCAGAGATCTCTTCCTTGTGTCCTACACCCTAATTGCAAGCCCAAAGAAACAGGAAAAACCACACACTCGCACTGTAACACTCGATAGAATAAAAACTTCTGCCGGGCTTCATTCTCAGTGTTACGGTTTATTTGTAAAAACATCTAGGGCCGTTTATACCTTGGATAAAATCTTTCTTGATCAAAACTATTGACCAGAGGCTGGAGTTGCTACATTTAATAATTCTCTTTCCTCTACTGTTCCACTAGATAGCGCACTTCCCAAATTACTTTTTAAAGTTTTTAGTTCACAATTCCAATTTTATGATTAGGACTTTAGCTTTATCAAAGCCTCATAGCAGATCTTGGTTCTGTATAGGTATAGAGCACTGAATGACCAGAACATTTAATTTTTGTCACATTTACATTAGTGTGCCGTCTTAACTTTATCAATAACCTTGCTTTTAGTTTCACTTTCTCATGTATTTTATTAAGATATGGGCAACAATCCTTACCTCTTTTTGATCAAACTGTCTTTCTGATATCCACCATGGCTAGAATTCGGACATAAATTCTTCTCGGGTTCGTTAATTCCCAGTTTTAATGTGTGTCCGAGATGCCTTCCTGAGCTTTCTCTTCCATCATCGCTCCCTCCCATTAAAAAGAGGTCTTACCAATAACAATGTATGGACATTGATTGGACCTGACTCAAATAAAAAAAATTACTGAAAAGGAGAAAGCCATCAGAAAAATGTGAACACTATCTCAATCCTGGACCTGAGGCGCTACAACCAGATTTCCTCTTTGTCGATAAGCGCCCCATTACACTCTTCTCATAGCGGGCAGCAGCAGAAGTCTGGAGACCTAGAAGGGAGGCCGAGTACATCTTCCTGTTTTTGTTTTCAGCTCTGCTCAGCATGGTCCTAGCAGGCTTCTTCAACACAGCAGTGATAGTTCTTTCAGTGACATCTTCACTCTGCATCTTTTCAACATTCACAGTGCCAGCTTCAAATCTCCCTCCCCAGGAAGAACTTTCTCGCAGGTCTGAAATTCCTCTAGCAGAGCCCTTCTAAGATTTCAGGGTTTGATAATGCTGTCCTTTTCTTTTTTGTTTTCCTAGTTGCAGGACTGGTAGCTATTTTCTGCATCGGCTACCTCTGTGATACCTTGAGTTGTTCTCCTTTTATTTTTCCACTTCAGTCCATGGCTAACAATTCTTTATGTTGAAGCCTCTCTGTCAAAATGCCTGGCCAAGTGGTCTGCTGACTGAACCCAGACTGATAACACTGGTGTATTTACGAAAGATCCTTGTCTTCCAGTAAAAATAAAACTTACAAATGAAAGGATATGACCCTGAAGTTGTCTTCAAAGACAGACAGAAGTGTTGGTGAATAGATGGTGGTTAGATGGAACAAGATGGCTATGTATTGATGACTGTTGAATCTGGATAGTGGCTGTATTGAGTTCACTGAACAATCATTTTTTCTTCCTAATAGTTTGAAGTTTTCCATGATATAAAGTTAATGTTTTTTTTGGTTTGTTTGGTTGTTTTTTGTCTTTTTCATTTTTATCGGTACCAGGGATCAAACTCATGACTGCCTGCTTGCAAGGCAGGCGCTTATGCAGCTGAGCTAAATCCCCTAAAGTTAATGTTTTTAAAAATGCAAAGTTCCTATGTAAAATAATGGCACTTTTTCAAAGTGGAAGCCATAATCCTTAAGTCTAAGGTTGAAATAAATACAAATAGAGATGGGAATTTCCCTACATATAATTAGTAATTATATCTTTTTACTAATTGAAATTTTGTCCACTATCTGAAAAATTTGACATCGATACTATTTATCGATAAAGTGTTTCATACTTGATGCTGCAGAATTGCAGCATGTCGAATGAAGCTTAGCTCAAGGGTTTCACATAGTTCTTCTGTAGAGCTCCCTGCAGCGGGGCTGAGGGAGTGGACAGTCAAGTGGGTAGCCCTTGACCCCTTATTTGCTTTATGTGTTATTATAAAATTTTATTTTGGGAGAAAAAGGATTCTTGGGCTCTTAAACTGTGAAAAGCCCTGAACTATCACAGGTATTTTGTCTTGCTTTTGTCCGCCTTATAATATTCTCACCAGCGGTCTTTCAGTTTCTGGTTCAACAGTGCCAGGGCAGTGATCCTGCTATTTTCAGTGTAGCCTAACTCTATGGGAATGTTCTTCCTTATGTAGAGCCCAAATGTGAGAACTGAGCGTTCAGTCTGCTCTCTCTCCACGTAGCAACACTGGCGGTCTCTAACGTCTCCTGGATGCATTTGAATCTCTAGCTCAAACAAACCTACAGCCATTTAGGCCACTAGTTCAGAAACTCAAGAACGTGTAAGAAGTTCTAGAGTATTTGTTTACATGCAGATTCCAGGCTGAATGTGCCGAGCCCCTATTTTACATCCTGTCAGACACTGTGGAGTCTACCTCCGTAACATTCTAAATGTGTTTCTCTTCATCTCCACTCCTCATTCAAGCCACCTTCAGTTTTCACTGCTTATTAGAATTTTGTTATCTGGTTTCCCTGCTTACCGGTTCACCTACTACACTTTAATGCAGTCTCCTCCTGTCAGCTAGAGTGATGTGTTTAAAGCAAATCAGACTCTGTCACTCCCCAGTTTCAAGCCCTGCAGTGTCTCCCATCACTCCCACCCAAGTGGCCATTTAGGATGTTGTCTCTGCTACCCATGTCACTTGCCTCACGCTCACTGTGCTGCAGCCACCCTTGCCTTTCTGAAGCACACAAAGTCATTCATGTCCTTAGCAATTGTTCCCTTACCAAAGATCTTTTCTTATTTATGGCTCTGGTCTCAAACATATCAAACTGTTTTCTATTGCATTAGTTATGGTATTCATCATTTAACCTAAGAATTTGTTGATAGAGTTTATCAGCTGGGGTTCACTAGAGGAACAGATTTAATGTAAGATAAATCTGTGATGCTACAAAGCATTTAGTAGGCAGGCTTGCAGTGGCTGTCATTGGACTGCCCTAGAAGCCCAAAGGAACTGGAGACGAACATCCAAAGGCAATGGCAAACACTGAAACTCCTCCAAAGGAGAAAAAGGAAAATTTCTGTCTTCTTTCCTTTTTTATGCCACCCAGGCAATTGACACTTCGTAATTAATGATCACGTAGGAGCTTTCTTGTGTTGTTGTTGTTATTTTCCTTTGCTTTCCTTCCCTTTCTAGGAGGTCACTTTATCTGTTTTATTCCCAGGATATAGCGCCCAACCCAAAAGTCTGCATTTTTACAAGCATTCCAGGTTTGCCTGCGGGTCACCCTTTTATGAAAGAGACATTGTTCTGGCATTGTAGAGCCGTCATACTTAGCAAGAACCTGTACAATTCTCTGAGCTATTCTGATGGGTCAGTTCAAACCTAAAGAGGAACAACATGAGTCGGGTACAAATGGGAGCAACAGGCATGGACCAGCATAACATTAAACACACACAGCAAAATTATTCTTCAGAACGGATCAGGGAGGAGACAATATATAATGTTGTACATTTTCTCCAATTTGAAAACAATTGATTTTTTAAAAAAATTAAGCCCTGAGAAAGTGGTTTGCATTTGAAGCCATGCGATATGAAAAATATACTCAATGCAGCAAGATGTGTGTGCGTTCTGTGCAGACAGGTACACAGAAAAATGAAAGAACTAGCACACGCAGCCAGCTGAAGGGGGTTGACAGTCACAGTCAGGTGGACCCCTGAGGACATGTGTTTATTGAGGGAGAGAATTGCCTGCATCATTTACGTCATTTATCTTTGTCATTTTTGTTCTCTCACTTCCTTAAAAGAGAAAAAATTTAATGAACCAGTATCTGAGAACAGGATAAATGGCAGACCAACAGGATGGAAAGGAATAAAACCATGGGAAGAGGAAGGCAGAAGGAAGGGGAGAGCATGAGTGTTACATATAAATAGGAAGGAAGTTAGAAATCTGTAAAAGTAAAAAATAAACCAGAGAACCCTTAAGATTTGGATGGTACTAGATAAATAGTAAAGGGTGCAGCTGTTCAAGAGCGTGCTGTTTCCTTTTGCTTCCTTGTTAGCTCTGCATGCTGCTGCCCTTTCCGGCCACGTCAGCACCGTGAAGTTATTATTAGAAAATGATGCTCAAGTGGACCCTACTGATGTCATGAAGCACACACCACTCTTTCGAGCCTGTGAGATGGGACACAAAGATGTGATTCAGACACTCATTAAAGGTTAGTAAACATGAGTCCTCCGATTAAACCACTCGCAAAATGTAGGGATTTTTGCATGCTCAGCTTGAAATAAAGCTTTTCACAATAGAGATCCACTGGGGTAGAAGGGTAAAACGATGGCTTAAGTGCTTGCCTGCTAAGCGTGAGGGCATGAATTTGATCCCCAGTACCAAAAACAAACAAACAAAAAACATAAAAATTGAATCTTTCAGATGTGGTGGCACACACCCATAATCCCAGCACTCAGGAGGCTGAGGAAGGAGGATGGTTGTGAGTTCAAGACCAGCCTGAGCTACAAAGTGAGCCCAAGTCTAGCCTGAACTGCACAGTGAGACTCTACTTCAAAAAACAAAACAAAACAAAAAAAAGAAAGAAAGGAAAAGTGCCCAACCTGACATGAGGAAATTCCAGCTCTGTCTCAAGCCCTGCCCCTGTTGGGAGTTGTTAATTTTGGGAAGTCCTTTAGCACCAGGCCCTCAGTGGTATGTGCTGTAAAAGGGAACTCAGTTTACAGGCTGCTGTGTAACTCTGAAGGAGGCAGTGTGTAGGAAAACATGTTAATGAGAGTGAAGCATTTAAGAAACTCTTTTTTTCTAATTTTTTTTTTATTTTAAAGAGAATAAAACCAATCAAAACAAACCAGTGTAAGAGATACAGGCCTAAAAATGTTACAAAATCAACAGTAGTTACCATAATGTCTTTTGATGTACTCAAAATAGCTGCAGATAACTTCAGACATGGTAACAATCAAACAGAACAGAATAGAATAGAATCAATAAAAACAAGACAATGAATGCAATAAAGAATTTCAAAACAAGCCTACAGTAAATCCAAAATTGCTACCATAATATATGTTGTTACTTTTGAAATATCTGCTCCTGCAATGGGATTTGACATAATCAAACTAAACAAAAGAGAATAAAACCCAACCCAGCAAAGAATGGAAATGATACAGGACTTCCAAAACAAGACCATAGGGAGTCAACAATGGCTGCAACCCTCAGAGGGAGACTCCCCTAGATGCCATACTGTGTACTACTATGGTCTGAACCCATGATCAGACCCCTGGCCCTAGACCTGCAGAATTAGTGAAACACCAAAGCACCACAGGCTTCCGATTGCAATCTACCTCCATAGCCATCATCACAGCCTGTGTTTCTCCAGATAAGATGGCCGCTTATGGGGGCCGAGGCGGTATACACTTCTTGCTTGCCAGTCTGCGCACCTGAAGGGGCTGGGGTCTGGCTGTTCCAGACCTGCACTCATGGTGCTGCTTCCCAGGCTGGGTTTGCTTGCCCACATTTAAGGAACTCTTGCCATATTTGTTAAACTTTTTTTTTTTTTGGTTCTGGGAATGAAACCCAGGGCCTCACATATGCTAGGCAAGAACTCTACCACTGAGCTACATCCCCAGCCCAACTTCCATTCTTTTTGGTAAGTGCAAAACACATGAGACATCGTAATTGTAATTTTTTTCTTTTCAGGTGGAGCAAGAGTAGATCTAGTTGACCAAGATGGACATTCACTTCTACACTGGGCAGCACTGGGAGGAAATGCTGATGTTTGCCAGATTTTGATAGAAAATAAGATCAATCCCAATGTACAGGATTATGCAGGAAGAACCCCTTTGCAGTGTGCTGCATATGGAGGGTATATCAATTGCATGGCTGTACTCATGGAAAATAATGCAGACCCTAACATTCAAGACAAAGAGGTAGAAATCCTGGGTATTTTCTATATTGTTTGCTATGAAATGTTTATAGTATTTCTTCATTGTTGTAAGATTAAATAAAACAGGGCTGGGGATTTAGCTCAGCAACATAAGCGCCTGCCTTGTAAGCAGGCAGTCGTGTGTTCGATCCCCAGTACTGCTAAAAAAGGAAAAAGACAAAAAAAAAAAAAGATTAAATAAAACAAAAGTCAACAGTTTAACAGCTGAAGAGATCACCCACAAACCTACCCAATAATTATGATTTTTATATGTGCATGCTTTCTTCAAATCCCTATCTCTATATATAATTTAACATAGTCGCAGTATAAACTGGAAATAATTTTATAACTTTTATAAAAAGATGACATGTATATAAATATATATTTTATGGCTTTCCACACCACTTTTTTCATTTATCTAAAGTTATTGTGTTTTTATCATTTGATATATACTTTTATTCATAGTCATGAATGCTTAAAGTTGGAAACTTCTAAGAGCTTTATGTGTAGTAGTAGCACATTCAATCCTTAGAACAACTCTGTAAAATAGCTATTACTCCATTTTACAATAGAGAAACTGAAACTCATATTTCCTCTAAATATGAAAATAATTACTCAAACATAGCATTTGGCATCAGGAGGTCAGGATGTATACATGTGTTTAACCCAGACTTCACAGTTAAATGAGAAGCCTCCTATCTCTGGACCTCTTGGTTGCTTTTCCATTGTTGTAGATAATGTTGTGAGAATCTTCTTTGTGCCTTTAACCTTGTTTGGATTATTCCCTTAGAATAATTTCTTCTTAGTGAGATTACTGAATCAAAGCAACAAACAGTATATAGTATAATGAAGTCATGATACATACTGCTAAAGATTTCTAAAAGATATTGATTAAATCTTCTTCCCCTAGCTATGTGGTGATGTGTCCGTTTCTCTCAGTTTAGCAAGTGTTAGCTTTTTGGGGGCTACCTTATCTTAACTCTTTAAAAATATTAGCCTAAGTTATGTTTTCTAAGTAAAAAAAAATAGATCATTAACTCATTTAGCAAGTTTTGATTGTTATTGTATATACAAATAACAATAAAAGTATGTAAAATATGGTCTCTGTCCTTATGTTCCTAGAACTGCATCTTTTATAATTTATCCTTCCTGTTATACTTCAACAAGCTACCAGTTTCTTACATTAATAGTATATTAAACTAACAGCCAGTTCTATCAGTTTTTATGTATAATATTTTGGAGTATCTATGTAAATAATGTTGTGATGTGTGAATAATATTTTATTTCTTCATTTTCAATCCTTATACTTTTTGTTTTTCTTTTACTTTATTGAACAAGCTATAACCTACAGTATGAATATAATTATTGGTAAATGGTAGATAGATTTCACATATTTATTTATATATATATTTTAAAGTAAATAATGCTTTACTTATATACTGTAAATAAGTATATATAATAAATAATGTTACATATTTTACTCAGGCAAATCTTTTGATTTCTGCAGTTTAGGTCTTCTGTATCTTTAGTACGCTTTTGTCAGTATTTCCTACCAACTAACATGAAAAAACAGTTACAAACTCCTGCTATGATTATGGATTTTGCTATCTCCCTTTAATTCTGTCAAATTTTGCCCAATATATTTAGAAGCAGTGTTATCAGAGGTATACAGATTTAGAGTTGTGACATTTTCCTTTGGCACCTTTAACACTATTCAGTATATTTTATTGTATCTTTTGTGACATTGGAAGCTTTAAGAATACAAGTCATTTATTTTATTGAATTTGACTCAATTTTGCTTTGTTTTCTGTTTTCTCATAATAGATTCAAATTTTGCACTATCCGTTGGAATATTATAGAAGTAACTAACATAATTAATGTTATGAACACTTGGTGAAGATGCTATCTCTTTTCTTTACAGTGTACTTAATATTATCTATTTTGATAAATAAGCTGTTTGGGAAGAATAATTTATATTTTTGAATTAGTATAAATAGCCCTATGTCCAAATATGCTTACTTCAGGTGTGCTTGATTTTTGGTCATGTTTGCAGGGAAGAACAGCTCTACACTGGTCCTGTAACAATGGATACCTTGATGCCATTAAATTGTTGCTAGACTTTGCTGCTTTTCCTAATCAGATGGAAAACAATGAAGAAAGGTAAGCTATTCATTTAAAAAAAAATTTAAATATACTGGTGATCATCTCACATCCTCTCTCCCAAATTAAAAAGGTCTCATGTTTAGATACTGGTTCAGAAATAATAAATATATCCATAAGGAAAGAAAACACTTGCAAAGTCTTGAACCAGAAAAAAAGAACAAAATTGCCATGCAACATCGATGTAGAATCACAGAATTTTGCATCGTTCAGAATGTTAGCTATTACCTAGAGCAAGTTAGTTTGGCAGCTAAGGAACCTTAGGCCTGCTTCTAGCTTGTGGCTAGTATAAGGTCAGGGAAGTCTGAAATGACCCAATTCACCAGGAATTCACCTAGGCCAGCAGAATATGTTATATATTCAAGAGAATTCTCTTGAGGGAGAGGATATTACCAGCAGACCAAATGGTGCCACTATATACCATGAGAACACATGGAGAATCTAAGGTGTAAATTCAGCACACCATCTATAAATACAGCTTTCTTGGAGTAATACCAGGTCCATAGAGTTACGCTGTAGTTGTTACCCAAAGACTCAGACTCAGTAAAAAGGACCAGACACTGTGAAATCTAAGCAAAGTTGATCTTGGCCTTAGGAAGATTCTAGTAATTCGCAGGAAACAGCTAAGTTTGGGATCAGACTCCATACCTGAGGACCTCCCAGCTAGGTTTGTGTGTCAGCCATCACTGCTATGGGTGCTCTAACTCCAAGCACCCCTGTTATGACACCATCCCCCTCCTCCTAACCACCATCCGCCTTTGTTTTGTTAAGAGGTGGGAAACATATTAGAGAGGGAGAGGCTTTTCTAGGGCAACCTGTTCCTTTCTCACTGCCTTCAGATGCTGTCCTCATCAGGGAGGGAAATAAATATGTCTCCCTTTGAAGCTTTTTTTAAAAAAAATAGAATGTAAATATTAAGCATCCTAAAAATTAATGATACATGTTTCTATGAAAAGTTGATTCTATAATAGCATTCTACTTGGTAACAACTTTGGTACTTGACTGCTTTTTTTATAGAATGAAAAAATATATTTATTATAAATCACTTTCCATTTATATGCTAAGCCTTAAGTTTCAAAGCTAAGTTACTGCCACCTGGAATAAGCATGTGTTAATTTCAGACCACAAGACAAAGGAAAAATCCTTCTAACTGCTCCTGCCAATATGTAGATACAGAGACACTGGCCATTTCCCAGTCTCTTTCAATGTTTCGTCTTGATGTACAGATGTCATCTGTCTTGATGGCACTGCCTTTTATATCTATTGACATCCTGGTTTAGTCATTCTACTGAGCCCATCAGACCATTCCCACATGGCAAGTCCAATTGCATCTTATCCTTGTCTTTATCTACAATGTTTCTTGGCTAGTTATCATCAACGTGGCGCTAATTTTTACTTCTCATGCATTGACATTGAGCCGCTTAGATACACTGTACAGACATAATTTTTGCCGACCTCTGCTGCCTTTCGGTCAATAACTATCTAACAGCTGCACTCTAACAATGATGGGAATATTCGCAGTACTCGAATGTTGCTAGATTGAATGTGGGGTAAAGAAATAATAAGTGTGTGAGCCAGTGAACAGGTAGACATAGTTAGCAGCAGAAAGCACTAACCGTGACTACGAGCCATATTCAACCTTGTTTTGGGGAAGTTTCTTTTGTTTTTGTTTGTTTGTTTCCCCACTGAGGAAACAGGATCCGCCTTGGACTAGAGAAAGTGGTTCTGCATGGAGAAAATTCCTCATCTTTGAATGAGGTTTCTTTGTGCTGTGTAATAATATTGATTAACTGTGCTCTGAATCACATTCCATTTTTACAAAAAAAAAAAAATCCTCCATCTGCTTCAGGTACACACCCCTTGATTATGCTTTGCTTGGCGAACGCCATGAAGTGATTCAGTTCATGCTGGAGCATGGTGCCCTGTCCATCGCAGCCATACAAGACATTGCTGCCTTCAAAATCCAAGCTGTCTACAAAGGGTACAAGGTCCGGAAAGCTTTCCGAGACCGGAAGAACCTCCTCATGAAGCATGAGCAGTTGAGAAAAGATGCTGCTGCCAAGTAAGTGTGAGCTATGAAGATTGTGTTCACGTACTTTAGAAGTGGGGCAGAAGGGACCTGGGCGTCCTGAGGTGGCCAGGAAAGAATAAGGAGAGAGTCCACTTTCCGTTTGGTCCCTGTACTTAGTTACTTTTCTCGCGGAGACAAAATACCCAACACCCAAAGGGAAAGGGAAAAGGTTTATTTAGCTCACAGTTTGTAGAAGTTTCAGTCCCTAACTGGCTGGCTCCAAGGCAGGACGGCGCGGCAGAGGAGAAACCGTTCATAGCAGGAAGAAGCCAACAACGCACACAAGAAACAACCTCAGCTCTTTCTATCTCTTCTACCTTATTCAGGGTACTCAAGGTGGGGTAGCCCCCACTCGTACTCCTAGTGCCCTTGATCTAGCCCTGCACCATGGCTCAATCCCAGCATCACACAGTTGGGTTCCACCATCTCTGCAAAAGCCCCAACTAGGATGGCATGAGGCTTTGGGGGACAGCTAGACACAGCCAGTTCTGCTCACCACTCTGTCTTTAGACAGAAAAGCTAAGTGAAGGATGAAGCCTCTTCTTGATGGCTGTTTTTTATAGATTAGAACCTAATGGTCTGGCCCTAGAATAAACCCCTGTCACCACCACCCACCACAGGGAGTCAGGTATAGGCTCTGCCCCACCAGTCCCTTAACAAATCTGTACTAAATACAGTTGTCCCTATGTACCTATGGGAATTGATTGTTTCCAGAACTCCCTACAGATGCCAAAATCCACAGATGCTCTAAACTCTCATATAAAGTAGCACACTCTTTGCAAATAACCTACATATATGCTCCCCATACACCTGAAATCATCTTTATGTTACTTAAAATACCCAATATAATGTGAATAGTATGTAAATGGTGACCATACTGTATTTAGGGAATAAAGACCAAAATCTCTGAACATGTTTAGTACAGATACAGCTGCTTTTGAATATTTTCAATCCATGGTTAGTTGAACGTGAGCATGCAGAGCCATCGGATGTGGAAGTCTGACTGTGCTCTATTAAAGAAATATTAACTGACGGTTTAATATGCATTAGCAACCCTTGGCAAGAACCAAGAGTAAGGACTTCACAAGAGTAAGGAAATCATACACAATACACCAAAAAAAGCCATTTGTGCCTATTGCATATTGTGATTGTACCACCTACATAACTGAGTGCAGATTCTGCTTTGGTTGGCCTTTGCTTTGATCCTTGTGTTAGGTGGGAGCATTTTAAATATCAGCAGCATATTGAATTAACAAATACAGATACCAGAACCTCTAAAGATGAGGAGATAGGTGACAGGCTGGTTTCTGAAGGCTAACTTCATGGAAATATGTCTATGAAATACTTCCAAAACCTGAGCCCTTCAGCTCAGGTCCTTACATATCTTGTCCACAAGGGGGAGGCATAAGTGTAATAAAAATAGCCATTAACATTAACACTTCAATAGCCTTTAAAAATGATAAAACAAGATATTTTAGTGGGAAGTTAAATACCACTGCATAGTATGATGCTTACCATAATTTCAGAGTTCCATAGATAAGATTGGTGAAAACATCCTTTTCTGTAACTGGGAAGCTGTTAAAGTGCAAGGCATTCTAGGAAATAGTGTCTTGTGCTCTCCTTTTAATGAGGTTCTCTTCCTTCCATTTATGTCAGAGAATCCAGGATTAACTTAAAGCTTCTTCAGCTCTCTTTGTTTAAGTCTTCCTATAAAAGTTCACTATATGAATGACAACTCTAAGTAGGTAATACACAAGAGAAATTATCCCAAGTAGCAAGTGAATGTTCTTGGTAAGGGGTGCAGTGTTCTACGGTAGTTTCAGTGTCTTCTGAGGATGCCTGAAACCTTGGATAGCACAGATGGTCCAAGATTCCAATAGCTCAAATTACAAGTTTTGGACCTTAAAATGACATGAAACTGTGTTTCGCATTTAAATATTTGCTCTTTTCCTGGGCTACTGATGTGTGGTATGATCCTCTCTCATCTTTCTGGGCAGCAGCTGTGAAGCACAGGTCCCAGCCACGTGATCAGGAAGGGAAACAACCTATCCTCTTTCCGTAGCTCTTTACTGTGGTCCTAAGCTGTGGTCATTGGTAGGCTGAGTGCATTCAATGCATTTTTAACTTGTAATATTTGAAACTTACCGTGGGTTTTCCAGGTTGCAACTTGGTCATAAACAGGGGGGTGTCTGCATATACTATGTTTCTCACTATATATGCATAGCCATGATAATTTAATTATAAATTAGTGCAGTAACAGATTAAAAATAACGATTCCATGGAACAATCAATGATATTCCATAATAAAAAGTATGTGAACATGGTCTCTTTGAAAATACCTCCCTGCACTTCCACCTTCCCACCTAAAGGGAGCGCTGTGTTTGTAGCATCTCTTCAACATAGCTGAACTGTCGACGGTCACTGTTTTCACTTTATTAAGTGAAATGAGGGCTATTTTTATACAAGTGCTGTGATCCTGCAAGAGTGGACCTGCTAACTAAGATGGCTGAGTGACCACTGGGCAAGGAACTGGATCGGTACACCAGACAAGGAGGTGACCACGTTCTGGTCAGGACAGAGCAAGAGCGCAGATTTCATCATGACAGTCAGAATGGCACACAATTTATAACTGAGGAATTCTCTATTTACAGAATTTTTACTTAATATTCTGAACCAGAGTTCACAGTGAGTAACAAACTTTGTTAAGTAAAACTACAGATAAAGAAGGACTACTATGTGTCCTCCTACTGATTTCCATAGATTGAAAGTTAAAGTGTGACAACCTGTTTTCAGAACTCAGGGTCATATCTACCTAAATATGAAGTGAATTCTATGAAAGCAATGTGCTGACATTTATGTACCCCCCAAAATGTGTTAATCCAAACATGTTCCATTTCTTTGCTGGACAAAGGGGGCCCTGCAGTCCTCCTGTCCCCCAGTTCTCTTTCCAGCTGAAGAAAGAGAGGTGCCAGAGAGGAAAGTTCGAAGCCAGCCTGGGCTACAGTGAATTCGAGGCCAGTGTGACAAGATCTGGTCTCAAAAAAATTTAATATAAGAAAAATGACGTATTGGAAGCTTAAGTAGCCCACTTCTTAACATAAACCAATGTGACTCCGTCACAGGACTTGAAACAAAGGATTTAGGAAATATCTAGCCAATGCCACTTTTAGGTGTCTTCTTGATTAGTTTCTCTGCCATAGAAGATATGTCTTCTTACTTAAATTTTTGTTTCTGAACTTAATTTCTAAAAACACCTTTAAGTGAGGGCTGCCCTTACCTGTGAAAACAGGCAATCTGTTACCCCCATTCGATCATGCTAAGGAGGGCAAAATCACACTCCTCACAGTGAGGATATGAAAGGAACTCATTTAAACTTGAAGTAAAGTGATCTCTAATTTATGATACAGAAACTGGAGCAGAGAAAAGTTGTCAGGTAAGGTAGGTATTTTAGAAACTGCTATTTAAGAAGTATGTATAACCCACTTAAAAGCACTTTTTAACTCACATACACTACCTGTGTTGCTGACAGAATAAACGTTATTGCAATTTATCTGCCAACGCAGGGAGTGGAATGCACACTTACCCAAGACCGTGTTTATGTTGATCGCCCTCTTCCTTGAAGCTTCCTTCCTGACACATTCTCATCTCGCTCTCTAATATCAGATCTTCCAGTGACTCTTCCTTCTGACATCTTTTTAATCCTCCCACATCCACACTAAGGTCAGCCCTGCAGGCCGGTTTTTACTTCTGTTCCTGTTGTACTAATTTCCACTGAAAATGTCCCGTGGCTTGACATGCAAATCAGAGCTGAGCATATCCATGTGCATTCTAGTCCCAGCTACTCAGGAGACTGAGGCAGGAGGATCACTGGAGCCCCAGGATTCAATACCAGCAACATAGATGGATTCTGTCTTTGTAAAAAAACACTTTAATTAGTTCATCTCTGTAGATCACCCCCTAATCTGGCTGCCATTCAGACCTCCTGCAGTTCCAATCCAGTCACCCGCTGGGCACTTCCACCTTGTTGCTTCCCTTTATCACTTGACAGAGCTTCAGACTCCTGGAAATTCCCATTTTCATATCCCTCGGCCACCATCAATTCAGACTGATAGTGTGAAACCTACAACAATCTGTCTCTCTTCCCGCCTCCTTATTTCCTAGCTAGTGATGGTGATGACACCATTGATTGTTAATTTCACCTTTGAAATTTCCTTTTACTTTTTTTTTTAATCTTACCACTCCATACAGGATATCATTCTTGAGTACCAGCCACGATGTTACTAGAGACCCTTGACATTTTACCTCCATTTACTCCAAGTCTTATTCTTCTCTAGTGCTGATCGCCTCCCAGGCCATCTCACTTGCTGCCTCAGCATCCTGAATGTTCCTCACTTCCTCTCTTACCATGCCCTCACGGAGACCTGGGCTTCTTGCTGGCTAGTCTGAGATTGAGAAAGCCTCCTAATAAGTCTGGTTTTGGTCACCCACTTCAACCTTTGTGCTGCTTGAGTCCCTTCTAAAAGAGACTGCAGACCTCAAGTCTCACAATAAAGAAGCCTGCACTTCCTGAGACAGCTCGTTTCCTCAGTGAATTAGTGGAGGCCTCTGCATAGCCGAAGTTCTCTTCTACCCTGTTTTTCAGCTACTTCTTGAAGCCAGAGAAAAAGCCCAAATCTTTTCTCATGAAACAACTTTCAGATATTTAAAGACAGAGCTCAAAATAAAGACAGTGCTCACGACACTCCCTGTCCAAACACAGAATTCCTTTGAGTTTGTAACTGACAGCAGCCTGCTCCCCTAAACATCCCCAGCTTGTAAGTACAGCACCTCTTTTCACAGCACCCGTGTGTCTAACTCTTTATCTCACAGTCTTACGATCCACAGGGAATTACTTCTGTGGTTCTACTTCTTCATGCGATCTCATTTCTTAGAGCACCAGTTTCCCGTGAGCAAAATGAAAACCACTTCTTAGCCGAGGATGGGCTTGAGGG